CGGTTGAGTGTCCTCAGACACGTTGCAACGAGCGACCCATCGCGCTCGTTCATCCAAGTGCCTCAGCGAATCTTGATAAGTTGCAGCAGGAGGCTCACAGAGAAGGAGCCAGCAGCTTTGAGAGTCGTCAAACGTCTTCCTTTGAGAAAATTTTCTGATTGGCCAAAAATCCCACGGCGAATTTGAATATTTTCAATTTTTCAAGAGGTGACGTCATGACCGTGGCTGACGTCATCGGTCGACCATGGAATTTTCACCTTCTTCGGAAATTTCATTTCACCAAAATTGGCCAATCAGAAAACTGCGGGCACCTTTTCTCTCTCTTACCGCAGTTTTCTGATTGGTCAAACGTTTTTCTAAAGGAATTTCTGATTGGCCAAAAATCCCACGGCGATTGTGAATATTTTCAACTTTTCAAGAGGTGACGTCATGACCGTGGCTGACGTCATCGGTCGACCATGGAATTTTCACCTTGTTCGGAAATTTCCATTCAACAAAATTGGCCAATCAGAAAACTGCTGGCACCTTTTCTCTCTCTCTGAAAGACTCCAACCCCCGTTCGAGACAATCCCACAAGCGGAAGGGGTGTGTAGAAAGTCTTTGCAGGGAGCAAGGGAGAAACCTGCTGGGTTTATTTTGTGCATGTTGAAGCATTTTTTTCGACAGCGTAGTAAGTGCCATGTTTGTGTACGGGTGCATAGTGCGAAGGGGTTTGGTCAGCCTTGCACCGGGCCCCCACGGCCATACTCAGATTTTTTAGATAACTTGAACATCCATATTGAGATAATATCCATATTGAGATAACTTGAACATCCCACCATCTGTATCACGTCATGTCACAGGCCTTGTCGATGTACGTGTGGGTGCTATTTGTTTGTCTCTTCTGTGTTCGTATCTAAATCGGATCAGAGTTACACAGGCTGACTGGCCGCATTCATGCATTCATTCGTCGTGCGGTTTCATACAGGGAACCGCTACCGGTGTGTGTATCGTTTTTTTCACGAGACGTCCGCGAGGCGTCTGGTGGTTTTGAGTGGATGATGTCAGCGGTTGCCCTGTAGCGTGCCTTCGGGCGTATGGCACTTAACTTCCCGCATTAATTTCCGTGAGAGTAAACAAACCTGCGGTGAATCACGGTCAGAGGGGGAATGAATGCAATGGAGGGGGTCGGCGTAGTGTGTACTGCACGGAGTACCTCTGTGCAAAATGTCCAGAAAATGCATTTACTCTTCAATGGTAGCTAGAGATTTTGCGCAAAGGCACAAAACAGATTTTGAACTGCCCCTTGTCTTAACCCTCAACAACAAACACAGACGATCGATGTTAAAACAAGGGGGTTTTCACTCCGACAAAATAAAAGCGAACGCTATGGCGGGAGGAAAGGTCATGCCCCGGCTCGTGTGTACGGCTACATATCGAGCCGCTTCTCTACGCACTGCACGTGTCCATGCCAATGGAGGAAGCAAAAATAATACTCCTGCCACCAACACGCCGAACCGCCAGCCAACTTTGGTCAAGACAACAAAACACACCTCACCACACCAAAGAACATTAACATTGCTCTCTCGAAGCACTACTTCGAACCACCGCACCTGAAACACGTAATAATCGATTCACGGGCCGCAACGTGCCAACCGGAGGAGATCAACACCCGCTGCTGCTATGCATGCCGGTTCTTCCGTACCCAATGGTCAGTCCACCACCGCCGAAAAAAACGTACCGGCGAAGCGCCGCCTGACCCTGCCCCAACTTGCCTACACTTACTGCAGACGTCTGGCGGAGGAGATGCCGGGTATCGCTGTCTTGCACTAGCACTCAGGTTAAGTCCGACGCGGCAAAGCGAGCTTGTACTCATGTAAAACGTCTTCATGTTGCTTTCACAACCAAGCTGACAACGTCCTAAACCCGCACAGGAGACAAAAGCACAAGCCAATAAACAAACATGGATCTTCTGTGGATACTAGACGATAAAGGCTCTCGTGGGGTCACCCGTTCTAGGAAAGTGGGGCTAAGGTGTTGATTAACAAAAGAAATGGCAAGGTTTGTTAGCCGCAGCGCCAAAAGATGCACTTGACACAACAGGCTGCTAGTGGTGGGCCATTGCCCCCACACAATACGAGACTACTATAATATGGTTTTCATACAAACCGGGGAGAACTGTGTGTTATATGCAATATGCTACGCTTCTGGAATAAACATCTATGGTATAGAACCTTTCCCACTACCAAACACGCATCACCCTTCTCTCTGCTCCTCATCGCTATTATTGCGTATGCAAACAATCTGAAGCGCACGCTGCGTAACACTGGCACGTGCGACCACCCCATCACTGCGGGTTCAAGCCACTTCAAAGCTTCGGCGAAGCTCTGTCTCTTTGTTCCGCAGCAAGCGGAACGAAAGAGCCACGCGCTGTCTAGCCCTACTCCCGTCACAACTCCAGCTTGTGTGGGGGGGTTAACACTCTATTCAAGACGTTAGGACTCTAAAACGCCCAAATCACAAGGCTTGCAAGGTCCGAGGCTCACCACAGGTTACTCAAACTTTACCAAGACTACCCTACCGACCCCAGGTGGCAGAACACCAAGGGACCGCACAATCTCTGTCTCTCCCCCCCAACCACCCCCATTCGAGAGTGTTAAACGATTAGGCCAAAAAACGGCACATTTAGTGCCGGCTGTGGCGGGCTTTTGACCGTGTACCAGTCGAAGGGCATTGTGGACGAGAGCAAGCGGTGCAGATTTCCGAAGCCTAGGAGGGGAGCCACTCACACCATTCACGGCAGCGGAAAGCACCAATTGCGCCCACCCACCCGAATGCGACGCTGGGTCTTACAAGCGGAGGCAATTCCACGCGGCCCTAGCCTGGTGTGGCATGGCCGTCTTAGCTGTCGTTTTCCACTTTCTTCCATCGGAGTCAAGAGCCACCACCATCACCAGCGACTGCGCTTGACGCCGCCGCTTCGCCCGCCCAGCACCCACGGGCCCAAATCTCACGCCCCGGGAGACACAACACCAGCAGCAGCAGCAGCAGCAGCGACGGTCGCTTCGGCTGCTGCGTGTGGGGGCAACGGATGCCAGCTTGCCCCCCCCCGGTGGTACCACACTCAGTAGTATTCGTCGCCGTGGTACCATCCCTCGCGCTCGGCCCCCCTCCCTGCCCCCCGCCCCCCCGCTCTGGAAGAAGCGCCGTGCCTCATGCCGGGGCTGAATTCGTAGTTGTACTCACCATAGTCGTACATGCTGCTTGGCCTACCTCCCCCCTCGTAGTCGCTGTCGCCGCCATCACGACGGTTCATGCCGTGGCCGCCACCGCCGCCACCGCCGCCGGCGTCTTCGTCGTGGTCGCTGTCGGAGCGTGCTGGCTCCGGGGGGGGGAAGAGGGCGTCGACGGTGTACTGGTTCTCCTGCGGGGCGGAGCAGCTCGCCAGAGACTCGTTCCACGTGTTCATGAGGCAGTAGAATTGCTGGTTTCATGGTGTAGGGCACATGCCCACACGCACGCCGTGGGAAAAGGGGGGCATTGCAACAACGGTCGGGAGGAATATTCGTATCAGGTGGTGTGTAGATTTTCTGTTTTTAGGTGTTTCGTGGTCGTGTGGGACACAAGGGCACAACACGCCGCAGGAGAAGGGGGCAGTGCAGCGAGCAGCGAGGCCAACGAACAAGAGTGTTCGTAACTTGGCACAACACCACCCCTCGTGAGTTTTGATCCAGAGGGTGGACAAGCAACTAAATAGATCAACAGACCAAGACCACCACAACACGAAACGGAGCATCTTAGGGAGAGTCAGCACTCAGACCTCGTGTCTGGCACCTACACGGTCACCCCGGCTCTAAGAAAATGACGATCTGACAACTACAACCTTATTATACAACCTTGCCGCTCCTTGGTACAAAAACGAGGAGGTTCTTCCTCGCCTGCCCGTGCCCAAGAATACCGAGGCATATATCCGGAACCAAAACGCCAACACTTACTTGCGTACGTTTCCCCGTGCCCCAGGAAGTCCGAGGCATCCATCTAGAACAAAACGCCCACCATTACACCGTGCAAAATCGAGGAGGGCTCTCTCTCTCACCTGTCCGTGCCCCAGGAAGAGCGAGGCATCCATGCACCTCAGGAGCGCTCTCCACTTTCCGCAGTTCTGGCACCTAACCCACTGGGCCTGCGAAGGGGCCTTGCGCTTCCCGCGGGTGGACATGGAGGGAGCCAGCTTCGACTTCGCCTTCTCCGCACACCTTTTTTTTTGTTGAACATTTTCGTCGATTGTGTGTCCAACCATCGGTGGCAAGCAGACCCAAGAGATGATGCGATGTCACGGAAGGGAGGGGGGGAGCGGGTGCGAAAAGGTCGAGTTCTGTGGGGTGTACAGAAGCGAGCATGTCGCCATTACACACGCGGTGAACCCCACGTTATGAGAGCGGGGGGAAAAACAAGTTTCAGCGCGAAAAAAAAAAAACACTCCTGTGGCCTGCCCAACCCGACAGGAATTGGCGGGGGTTGGCCCTTGGCTCCTTAGTGCGGCAAAACCCCACCTGTAAAAGCGGGGAAAAACGCTTTGAAGCGGAACAAAAAAAACACATGAAAATAAAAAAAAATGACCAAAGGGGAAAAAAAAGAAAAAAAACTCACTTGATGCGGCGTGCCCAACCAGAGAGGAAACGGCGGAGGTTAGCGTCCTTGGCCCTGCTTTCCTCGTCCGACTCCTCCTCCTCATCGTCCTCCTCCTCTTCCCTCTGCTGCTGCTGCTGGCGCCGCTTCTGCTGCCGAACTTTCCGCTCCGCTTCTAGCAGGGTAGCGGTCGAGGACTCCTGCTTGGCTCTGCGCGCGGGGCGGGGGGGGGGGGGGGCGTACCCTTATGTTTTGCATACCTTAGCGGTTAGACCATTGACCACGCGTCCTCGAGAGGACGGAGCAAGGCGGGGTGGGTGGGGGGGCGATATGGGTCTTGTTTGTGTTTGTTGTGTGCACTCTCACTTTCGAACGAATCGTCCCGTGGGCGCTGTGTACATGGTTGGGTAGTGGGTGCTTGTCGTCAGAGATGCGAAGAAAAGGGTATGAAGGCACACCGCAGAACGGAGATCGCCCTTCTGCAAAACACATAGAAGTACATACCAACATGATACACGACACCCCCCTAGGTCTCCGCAGGGCCTTGATCTATTTAGTGCTGAGATACCTAACATCCATCGTGTTCAATTTCGAAACAAGTGTTCCGGTATCCTGAAAGTTCGTCCGTCTTCTTCTTCGCTCATCAAAACCGGTTGTCAAATGCTTCTGTCCTGTGGTAAAGAGCGACAGCAGTCTAACCCCAATACGAACACGAACCGATAAACACAATTAACCACGCGCCAGAAATAACTCGTCGGAATCACGTAAGAGAGTAGACCGAAGGCTCAATCGGCTCAATTGACTCCGCCGGAAAAAAAAAAAAAGTAACTCGAGGGCTTTTCAGGCGAATTTCACGGGCTAGAGTTCTTGCCTTTCTGGTGTGAATGGCAACAATAACAACAACAACAGCAACGACTACTACAACCATCGACAAAAAAATATCCGTGTGCTTGTTCCTATTGTAGAAGGGGTATCTTCCAGCACAGGCAGTAGTGTCATTTGTCATCGAACGTTCTGTTTCTTACTCGACCTAACCCAGCCAGCGTTCTAGCGAACGATAACGATGCCTTGCCCACAACGTCGAAACCCAAATGAAGAGAAGAGGACGGTTCATATCACAATTTTTTATCGTTGACACAGCAGCACCTACCAAACACGCCATGATACAACACCTATATACATATAACACCCACACACACAATAGTGCATTTTCGTTGGTCCGCCTGTCATCGCTAGCAACAAATACACACACGTAGATACCTGCAGTTGGCTCTGGCCGCGTCGTAGATGTTCATCTCGCAGTGCCACTTGAGGGGGAGCTGGTCCGGGTCCACGAAGTCCGGCAGCCTGCGCCACTTCTTACACGTGTCGCACTGCACCCACACCACTCCTTCATCCGACGGTCCGCCGTTCCCCCGCCTCTTCTGCTGCTGCTGGCGCCCGCGACCCCCGTCCTGCTGCTGTTGCTGCCGCTTACGAACCTCCTGCCGCCGGCCCCGTCCGTCTTGCTTTCGGCGGCGGCGCTTCTCTTCCGCCTCCTCCTCTTCCTCGTCGTCATCGTCCAATGCGTGCCGCCAGCTCATGCCCGCCGTGCTCCGGCGCTGCCTGCCGACGCCTATGCTAACGCTAGCCGCGGGAGTGGCGGGAGCGGTGGCGGCGGCGGCTGCAGCAGCACCCTGCTTCCCGCCGTTTGCGGCATCCTCGCCTTCATCATCTTCTTCTTCTTCTTCTTCTTCTTCTTCTTCTTCTTCTTCCTCCTCCTCCTCCTCCTCCTCCTCGTCCACCTCCACCACCTCCTGGTCCGATCCATCTCCCCCATCTTCCTCGTCGTCGGAAGTGCCTACCGCGCGCTGACGACCGCCGCCGCCGTCGCCGCCGCTGCTACCCCCCCGTCGAGCAACACCTTTGCGGGGCCCCTTGGCCCCCGTACCCCCGTTCTTACCGCCGCCGCCCTTCCGGCGGCCGGCGGGGCTGACCTTGCGATGGCTGCCGCCGGGACCGGCGCTGTCGTCATCGCTGCGAGAGCCGTCATCGCTGCTGGATGTTGCCGCAGCAGCAGCAGCAGCAGCAGCAGCAGCAGCAGCGGCGGCGGCTTCTGTGCAGAAAAGGTAGCGGCGGTGGAGCAGAGAAGCAAACGGGGTGATTAATGAAATTTCCAGAAAACAAATAATTTTTTCAAGGAAGATCTCAAGGCCACCCTGTGCGTGTGTCGCTGTCGCCGTCGTTGCCACGGGGGGTGCTACCCGATAAGAAGGTGGCACCACGGCTGCACTTTTTTTTACCGCGGGGGGGGGGGGGGGGGGGTAAGGAAAAAAAAACCCTTCCCCCGTTTGAAGGCACCGG